ATGAAGGTGCATCCAAACCAGCTCATGAAGGCAAACCACATGAAGGTAAAGAACATGAAGGCAAACCACATGAAGGCAAAGAACATGAAGGCAAACCACATGAAGGCAAATCACACCCAGAACACCACGGTGAGAAACATGAAGAAGGAGAATGCCCAGGAAACCATGGTAAAGTGCATGAACATCCATTACGATCTGGAAGTGGTATGTATAGAGTGGTTTATTAGTCTGTTTTAAAGATGAGATAGAATGAAGTAGGAAGGTTCGTTTGCATTAAGGGAAAACTGATGTTTTGATTTTCCACTGTTACAATTGAGATTAGAATCATGGATTGATTTATGACAGTGCACGAGAAATAGCAGGAACTGGGAATATTAGTTTTTATATTGATTTCATTATAGGTAAACCCAAGGACCATGATGATACATCATCATCCGACGAAGACAAACCAAGACATACCAAAGATGGAAAACATATTGGTCAAGTAAGTGTGAAAAGAAGATAAAGACTCATTTTTCTTTGTTGTTTTGTGAAGTGTTTGATGTAGAGTTGGACACAACGAAATTCTAGACACGAGGAGTAGAGGATTTTGAGATAAACCATATAGCAGTTTTTTTTGGTTAAGTGAAAAAATGATGCTTAAAAATGTGAGGGAATTCTCTGATTAATAATAAAGCATTGTTACACTAAATGACTGGAACTTGTGCATAGATATGAGAAAATATGTAGTTCAAGTCCGTTGAAAGATATCTTTTTCATTCAATGCGTTACACAAGATCAGTAACGTTGCTTTCCCAACTTCTAAACATATAGAAAATAGTAGTAGAGTAGTTCGAAGAAGGGAAGAATATATTCTCAGAGTACTTTCTGTTGATATTGTTTTCAAAAGATTTTCTTGTATAAAAAATATTATGCTGTAAATAGTAAGTGAGACATGCTTAGATGATGTGGCTGGATTAGATTTATGAAAAGTTGAATGTTTTCTTGTTAGAAAATCTAAGAATGAAATGGAAAAAAAAGAACATTTCTATAGATGTTTTTCTTTATTATCTTATATGACAAATATCGTTACTTAATATTAATTTAGATTGTTACAAATACATTCCATGAAACTTTCAAAGATCTTGTTAATCATAACAGCAAATGTGGTCGATGTGCAATGCGTTATATATTTTCCTCAGTTGTTATTGAAGGTGTTACACTTGAACAAATATCTCATAAATCTGGAGGAAAATTTATTGAAGATTTCAAAGAAATTTTAACCAATGAAATTCATAAACATCATGAAGAAGGTGTCAAATCAATCAAAATCACAAGTTTAAATACATTCAATCGTCATAACTTAGTTATCGAATTTGTTGTTATTGTTGATCCAACACATCATCATCAAATAAGCAATGCAATACGTCATGCTCTTCTTTCAACAAATGTAAATTCATTTTATTGATTAGTTTTCTATGACATTATTTTATTCTCTTTTTTAGATTGAGAAAGCACTCAAACATCAATATAATAAATAATCATGTGCAATCTATTATCATCAACATCATAATCCCATATTTATTTACTTATTCGAAAATTTTTTGGTGTAAGAAAAAAAGAAATTTGTTCTAATAAATAATAAAGGATATCTCATTATAATATATAACGATACTTTATCTTTTTTTCAATTTATATCAAGTTAAATGTTCAATCATGTTTAAGAAAGTTTTAACAAAACTAAATTATTTTATATATTTTCAGCAAACTTAGATTGACGAAGAGATTTTCACAGAAGAAAATAACTATCAAAATATAAATATGAGAAGATATTTCTAAAAAATCAATCATTAATAGAAACTTTTAAATGTTTTTTTTTACGATGAAAGTAATGTATCTTGATGATTATATATTAAACAGTGAATAATTGTTTCTATACATTTACATAATAAATTAATTAGTTAATGGTTTATATAAAAACTAAAAGCCATCAGACTTTCGTAAATATATCGTAATAGATTAACAATAAAAACAATATAAAATAGCAGTAAAAAGACAACCAAAATCAATACTAACACTGATAAATAGGTTTTGCTCTTTTTTTCTAAGACAAAGATTAAGTCGTAAAAGTTTTGAGCTGTTATATATATATTGTAAATCATGTCATTTTTGAAAAAAAATCAACCGTTGATAAGATTGTTAGATTGATTATTTTATCATTTATTAAAATTTTACTTTTTTTCATAAACTACGTCGTCAAATCTTTGCCTATATTATATATATAATAGTCTTGGAGAAAAAATTGAAAAATCTCATTAGTTTTAGTAAACACTTTCGATACTTTATGCTGCCAAAGTGTTCTTAAAACATATCTATCTTTCCTAAACAGTATGAGTTTAATAGTTTTATTTTGTTCTGCAATTCAATGTTCATTTCTATGACGGTCACAATCTGTGGCATAATCAGAAGAACATCTGTCATTCATAGTTTGTGATTTTACGTTGGTCGACTATATAAAGGCCTATGATGACCTGTTGGCCACATCTGTCACCAGGTCAAAAGAACATGTGTCGATCACGTCTGTGTGTGTGCGGAGGAGGGGTAGTGAATGCAAATTTCTACCCATTAACACTTCAGCACTCCTTTTAGATCGTGTTTCACAATAGAAATAAAAATCTTAAATACAAATATTATTCTAATTTTTCAAAGAAAACGTTAATATTTTGTCAACATTATAATTAATATATATACAGTTAGTTTAATTATCTCAAGCTTATATTAGAAAAAGAAACTTATTTTAAAATATTTCAAAATTCTTTTTAAAAACAATTAGACGCTTCAGAATGAATTTCGATGATACAGTGACACAAATGTAAGTTTTATACAAAAAAAGACTTCTCTCAATCCAGTAATATTCAAAGAATGATAATTTCATACATCTTTTTCATCCTATTATTTAAGATAATATTTATAGTATACATAGAAATATAGAGACTATTTTACTTTTTGAAATGATATATCGAATTATTCTGTGTCACTTTGTTTATCAAGCTTACGATCATACTATACTAATATATATATACAATACATCAAAAATTTCTTTCATGTTAGTACCATCGGGATTGAAGAAAAAGCATTTATAAAACAAAAATGTTGATTAACCGAGGTTTTATTATATATCTATATATAGACGATTGAATTAAGTTCTGTCTTGTTTCTATATAGTTTAGATTCTCACATAGGAATAGAATTTCTTTGAAAATTGTCAAATCTATAAAATTTTCAACGTAATTTTCTTTAACAGTATGTAACACAATTTCATAATTTCATATGTTCTACTATGTAGTCAAATCCTTCTAGTCACATTGATTAGTTGATTAAATTTGAATCTATAAACACATATGATAATATGAAATTTTGTTTATATTCAATCAAATGAAATAAATATATTGATAGACACTGATAAAATCATTTGTATATTATTTATACACATTATGTTAAAGTAATAACGATAAGTATACAAATATAATGTTAAAGAGAACGAAGTGTCCTTAAAAAACGATAGATAAGTAATATAATATCCATTGTGTATATGTACTCACTTTTAGTTTTTTTTCTTTTTTTCTTTCTCTAAAGTACCTACAGTTACTGAACACAAGGTCATCATTAACCTTTATTGACTTTTATTTTCATTCTTATTTTATACATTCATTTGCTTCATTTAATATATTAATTCGATACTTTTGTTCTAAACAAAAAGAAGAAATCTTTTTTATTATAAATATGATCTTTTTTTTCAATTTAATAATTGTTAAAAGGACATGAAATAATCTTTGGTTGGTTTCTAGTATAGATAATGTCATTGTATAACCTTCGACTCGTACTTGTCATTTATCTAAGGATGAGAATATAAATGTGTGTATCATTCTTTCTTTTCTTTTCTTTTCTTTATATATTTTCAATGTCACATCTTTCAACAAGTTCTCCTGAAACTGAATCATTTATTTCTCAATCAAATAAAACAACAGTAGTATGTTAATGAATTTTATCTTTTTCTTTTATTCTATTGAATACAAAAATAATAATATTTGAAATAGATTCCAATAAATGATTCAAATAATTCTATAATAATATCAGATGAAAAATTTGAACGATTATTAGATCGAATAAAAAATTCGAATGAAACAACAAAATCTCAAATTGCAAATCCAGGTGCACTTGGACTTGCTGGATTTGCATTAACAACATTTATACTTTCAGTATTTAATGCTGGAGAATATTTAATTAATATTAAATTAGAACCAGTTGTTTTACCAGTTGCTTTATTTTATGGTGGATTAGCTCAATTACTTGCTGGTATGTGGGAATTTAAATTAAATAATATATTTGGTGCAACGGCATTTACAAGTTATGGAGCATTTTGGATGTCATTTGCTGGTTATGTTCATATTATTTTACCAAAATTAAAACATATTGCAAATATTAAAAAAGCTACAGGTCTTTTTCTTTTAGCTTGGTTTATTTTTACTCTTATTATGAATATTGCAGCATCAAAAATATCAAAATTTTTATTCACTTTATTTACAATATTAACTATAACATTTTTATTATTAGCTATTGGAAATCTTTCAAATTCATCTTTAATTATTAATATTGGAGGATGGTGTGGAATAATAACAGCATTTATAGCTTGGTATGGTTGTGCTGCAATTGTTATTAATTCAGCTTTTAAAAAATCTCTTTTACCTCTTGGACTTTATGCGTAAATTTTTCACAATTTATTTCTTTTATATTTTGTAATTGATTGTTTTTCATATTTAAATCAATTTAAATATCTATATATTATTTAGAAAATATTTGATTTGCTTTTTTTTGTCAAATAGGAATTCTTTTTATAAAAATAAATGTTTTAATTAGGATAGAATTTTCTAAGATTTCTTTTAAGAAGAAAAAAAAATCAATGTTTCGAAAACAACCAATAGAATCGAATGACCGAAAAAGTAATTAAAGCTAGTGTAAGAATGAACAAATGTAATATAAAGTGAAAAAGTTTCTTTCTATGTCAAAAAATAGTCGCTTTTTTTGTTATTCTCGTATTTTCTTCGATCTGATTTTTTACTTGATTAATTAATTAATTATATTAGTAAATATTATTTCTATGAACTTAAAAACGAAAAATTGAAAAATTAGTTGATTGGAATTATTTATTTGAAGCAAATTCAATTATAGAAAATGTATAAATAGAATTTTAGTAATGATAACTGTGAAAAATAAATATTATACAGTTATATACTCATCAATTTCATATAAAATCAATCTTTAATTCTTTAAATTTAAACTATAAGACAAATTTTCTCATATAAAACACAAAACATGTTATATTATTAATTGACTATAAATAATAATTACTTTTCAGAGTTAAACAATTTCTGAAAATAGATAGTCTACTCTTAAATGATTTAATAGTCATAATTCATTATATCTCCATCATGATTTCATTTGATCTAATCTTACAATTGTAAAGTTCCTTAAATGAATGTATTTAGCAGAATATTGCATCAATTATTTCTCAATTGTTATTGTTTATCATCTATTATAATTACTGATATTATTGCCATTATTTAATCATCGATTTTATTTGTCTTCTAACAAAAGCACACAAATTGGATATATCTTCTAGAAATTCTTCAAATGATAAGTTTTATTAGAAAATATATTTGAACTTATCAAATTTTATTTATTCTCTTATAAATTATTGAATATACACATGAAAGATAAAATTATGTGTATAGAGGCGTATATCTTATCGATGTAACTAATCGTTGACATTATGACTTGAATAGAAACAGAACATATTTATTAAGAAAATTAATATTGAAGAAATTGAACATTAGTATGAACCATTTAATAAAAGTGAAAATTGTTGATTATATATTTGAGAGCATGGGTGAAGTAGTGATAGAGTATAATATACTCTCTCTTATGTAATAAGAAATAGAAATGTAAATACTACTCAACTATATTATTATTATCAATAATTGAATTAGTAATATTTCAAAGAATTGTTTAAATATTTAATAAAAACAATCTTATTATTATAATATGAAGATATAATTATAAGCGAATCATTTTTATTTGAAATCTTTTTTCTAAATGTCTAAAATAAATAAAACCAATGAACTAATCAACAAGCAAGATTATTTTGTACAATGGAATCTTTTGTATCTGAAATAAAATTAGGTAATTGATTTGAATTACAAACATTATTTGATATAATAAATGATGATCCATTAATATATAAACCTTGTCCATTTGCAAATATTCTACATGAAATTATTTGAAATTGTGTAACAGATTTATTTGGTATCCAAATACCTCGTCCTTTATTATTTCTTATTTCAACACCACTAAGAATAAATGTTCCACTTTTAATTGTCATTCCATTACACCAATTAGAATTATTTGGACATTCATAAACTCCTCCATTAAAAATTGTTCCACCACTAATTGATAAAACAGCAGTTGTATTTTCTTCAATAAAAACTTGATGAATAGTACTAGATGCAGCCCATATACCAATAATGGAAACATAACTATTATCACGAATAACTAAACCTTGACCATTTGAATCAAGTGTAGCTTGACTAATAAATATTTCTCTATTAGATCCACTAGTACCATTTTGATTTTCAATTAACATTCCAATTGCTAAAGCAATAATATCTGTATTTTCAATATGTACTCCACCATTATTTCCTGTACAATGAATTCCAATACTTTGATCAAAACGAAGATTAGCACCAATAATTCTTCCACCTAAAATTCTTATTTCTGATCCATAACCGATTTTTATTCCCGTACCTTTGATTTCCCACATAATAACATCACGTATTGTATTTGTATCTGCTACTCCAATCATAGCTATTCCTCCACTTATTGGACTAATTTTTGAATCATTTGAATTTATTATTAAATGTTCAATTTGACTTTTAACCAAATTTTCAGCATAAATACCAAATTTATCTAAAGATTTTTCAACAATACTTGATGTTATAACAAAATCTCGTATTGTTATTTGTGAAATTTCATTATTACTTTCTAAAAAATTAAATTAAAATAAAAAGAAATATTTAAATTATTTCTAATAACCTGATGAAATAATAATTAAATGATCATTAAATTCCCATAATAAAATAGAATTCATTCCATCTCCATTAATCGTAAATGGAAGATTTGTTTTGAAAATTAATGATGAACGTATTACAAATGTTCCACTTGGAATATAAAGAACACCACCATTAATCATACATTTTGAAATAGCTTCTAATACTGATTGTGTATCATCTGTATTTCCATCTCCTTTAGCACCAAAATCTCGAATATTATAAATTGTTGATGAAACAATATTAAATATTAAAAATAATATAAGAAAACTAATAAGTTTTATTTGTAACATTATTTAAATAGATCTTTTTACTTAATACTTTCTCACTTTAATAAATATTATCTTTATCAAAATATTTATTATAAATTTTATATTCTCTTATCTCTTCTTGCAACTCCTTTCTAGATTTTATCTATAAACACAATGTTTCATGTTTTATAATAAAAAGAAAGATGAAATAAGAAGAAGTTTTTTTTTGAAAATTAATTATTTATTATACCTATATCGTAGTTTCATATGATTCCATCTGATATAGATTTATCATAGTTCTTATATTGAAAAGTAATTTTTTCATACGTTTATTTTCGTCATTATCTGCTTCTACATTGATCAATACTTTTTATTCTTTTCTTCTAAATGTTAACAGAAGCATCAGCTGTTTATCTGTGCATAATACAGTATTTAATTCATAAAATTCTTATAAAAAATATTTTCTCTTTTTCGTTTGATTCTATAGGATGAAAATGAATATATATTTCATGATGTACAAATAATTGAAATACCGAAAAATTTATCTAAGAACAGTAGATAAAATGGAAAATATAATCATTATTGCGTATGTTACATTTTGTTTTATTTTATATAAAATAGAATATATATTTTTGTTATCTATTATCAAATAAAAATCTATCAACTTTAAATACAATGAATTATTCTAAAAATATATTTTGGAATCATAGATTATTATTTCAATTAGATTTGAAAATAATGATTTTATTCATTTTACATATTCTTCTTCCAGCATCTACTCTATTTTTTTCAGTAAATAATATTGATATTGATAACTCTAATAAAATCTATATATTACCTTTGTATGTTTTATGATGATATATAAAATCGAAATAAAATTTACGTATATTAGATTTATTGAAGCATTAATTTAATACGAAATATGATATAGTAAAAAAGTAAAGAACGAAAAAGTATTATTGCCTCGAGTGATATACAGTATAAAATAAGGGAATAAAACGTTTTACCACGTGTATCGATCAAAATAAAATATTAAGAAAAAAAAAAAAAGAATCCATCACGAATATTTATTTTATACGATAACGATAGTGAAGTATATTTCTACTTATTCAACTTTATTAAATCGTATATATAGACGGATGAAAATATTATTTTGTACTCATATAAGAAGAAAAAAAACGGTATGTATAAAATATAAAATATATAATATTATAAAATAATTTGTGTTTATAGTTTGAAAAATGGAAGATGAAAATATTCGAAAAGATTTTACTTCAAAATTTAGTGATGAAAAATATAAAGATTTTCTTAATAAATTAAATAGTGAAATTCCATCTCCAATTGATTATCGTATAGCTGAATCACCATTATTTCTTAATAAAGATGTTTCAAATAAATTAATAAAATGTGGTGAAGAAATACTTGATTTTCTTTTACGTCCTGATCTTAAACAAATAACAGAAAAATCAATTCCAGATAAATGGCGTTGTCCAAATGAAAATGATCATTCACATTTTATTGGAATGGATTTTGCATTGAGCAAAGATAAAGATGGAAATTTTTCACCGAAATTAATTGAATTTCAAGGTTTTTCAGGTTTATATGGTATACAAGCTCATTTAGCTAATGCTTATAAAGAAATTTATAATATATCTGATGAATGGAGTATTTATAGAAATGGATTAGATGAAACAAGTTATTTTAATTTACTTAAACAAATTATTGTTGGACCATATGAACTTGATGAAGTTATATTAATGGATGTACATCCACATGAACAACATACAGCTGCTGATTTTTATTTTACAAAAATACATATTAATATTCCAATTGTTGGATTAGAAGATTTAAAACAAGATGGAAAGAAATTATTTTATGAAATCAATGGAGAAAAAAAATATATTAAACGTATTTATAATCGATTAATTTTTGATGAAATTGATAAAGATGAAAATATATTTGAAAAGAATGTTGATATAAGACAAGATCTTGATGTTGAATGGATAACACATCCTAATTGGTGGTATAGAATAAGTAAATATCTTTTACCACATTTAAAAGGTGATTATATATTAAAATCATTTATTTTAAATGATATTATTAATAATTTACCTAATGATCTTGAAAATTATGTTTTAAAACCATTATTTTCATTTGGTGGTAATAATGTTATTATTGATATTAAACAAGATGATATTCAAAATATAAAAGATCCACAAAATTGGATATTACAACAAAAAGCGAAATATGAACCAGTTATGCATATAGAAGGAAATGATGTTATTGCAGAAATTCGTTTAATGTATTTTTGGCCAGATAAAACTCAAAGACCAATATTAACTGCAAATAATACACGTTTAAGTACTGGAAATATGATTAATGTTGGAAGTAATAAAAATAAAAAATGGGCTGGAGCAACTGTTACTTTTATGCAAAAATAAATTCAAATCTTTTTATTCTCTAATAAACTATAATATATCACATTTCATATAAATCTAGAAAAAAAAAATATTTTTAATTCTTATGATAATCACATTAAGACAATAACAAAAAATTTCTTTTCGAACCTCTTGAACTTTCTTGAATTAGTCACATTCTAATGCATGTATTTATTTCAAATAAAATCCTAACTTATCAAACATTCTTCATATGAAATTTTTTCTCTTATCCTTTACTTATTTATTCTTAATTTCATATATATTATTTTTTGTTGACTAAGAATGTCGTCAGAAAAAATAATTTCTCATTAATTCATGCTTTTGTTGTCGAATTGAAATGAAAAAAAACTAGTTTTAAAATACCTACACCCTCAAGATGGTTTACCAGTATAATTTTCAAAAATCTCGTTTCTTGAAATATACTCGTGATGAAATGTGATTTAACTGTCGATATTTTTACAAAAAGCTATTAATCACTATTTTGTTTTTGTTTGTAAATCATGTAAATCGTTGTGGTTTTCACGATATGGAATCATATATATTTATTTCTTCATTGATCTATTTATATATATTTTCATTGAAAATTGAAATGAAAAACAAAAAAATAAAAATAAAAATAATCGTAGTCAATTATGATTTTATTTCTTCGATAATCGATACAAAGTGCATTAAAAGACATGTCGAAATAAATAACACAAGAAGAAGAGTGATGATAGGATAGTTCTATACATATTTACTACATTAAGCACGTGTTTAATTCGATTAGCCAAAAGAAAAAAAGAGGAGAAGGATGAAAATCTTGATAGATTTTCTTTTCTTTTTGTATTTGATATTATTATTTTTATCTGTCAGAAATAATTGGATATTATTTTTTGATAAATTATCGTATCTATATATTAACCAGATATAATCATTGATAATTTTCTTTATTTCTCTCTTTTATCGATTATTGTTATGTTTAAATAGACGTTTGCTTTATTATTCTAAAACATATTAATATATTTCAATCTATATTTATTATAATGATACCTTCATCAAATAATAATAATAATAAGATTTTGAAAAAATCAGCACTTGCCAGTGGTGTTAGACCTTCAACAAATATGGCTGTAAGATTTCAAATTGATGATCCAATTGAAGTTGATAAAGATCTTAAACAAAAAGGATTAACAAGAAAAAAAGCAGCTGAATCATTTGTTATTCATGAAATTCGACCATGGTCATTAATATTAAATACTTATCCTTTAAAAGATATTTTTAATAATATTAATCAAGATAAATCTCAAGATAAATCAACTAATGAACAATTAGAACAAATTATTGTTCATGATTCATCATCAATCAATAATAAAGATCGATCAAGTCGTTCTCGATCATCAAATTTAATTGATAAAAATAAAACTAATGATTATCATCATCAAAAAATAACATCTCGGACTTTTTTAGGTACAATGTGTGAAATTAATTATATATTTATGCATAAACATTTTCTACGTCGTTTTCCTTATTTAAAATATTTTATTCTTTTTATTGATTCATGTCTACGTGGCATTGGTCAAGTTATGTTTGCTAATAATCCACTATCAGGTTTGGTAAGTTTTATATAATTAGATTAACAAAAGAAAATATTTTTTATTTATTTATATTTTAATCTAGATAATTCTAATTGGTTTAATGCTTAGTCAACTTGAATTATCGTTGTATGGTTTATTAGGAATAATCATGTCAACATTAACGGCACATTTTATGGGAGTTGATTATGATTCAGTTCGAACAGGTCTTTATGGATATAATGGATGTTTAACTGTTTTAGCTATGAGATATTTTTCACCGGAATATAATTTTATACAAATTCTTGGACCTATTATATTAATGAGTATTTGTTCAACAATATTTTTTGTTGCACTATGTAAATTATTTCTTCTACGATTTGATCTTTCACCATTTACATTCAGTTTTCAATTATGTTCATTTATATGGTTATTAACTGTATTAAAATTATCAAATTTTTCTTTAAATAAAACAGTTTTAGCAAATGATTTCATCTCACCAATAATTCAAATAACAACAAATCAATCCAATGAAACAACAACGATTTGGATTTCATTGATTGAAAATTTTAATGGAGTTTTTCGAAGTATAAGTTTTATTTATTTTCAAACTAATGCTATAACAGGACTAATAATTTTATTTGGTATATGTATTTGTTCACCACGATTAGCGATACTTGCTCTATTTGGTGCAATAACTAGTCAATTATCTGCAATTTATTTATTTAAACTTCCTATAAAAGAAATTCATATGGGTTTATGGAGTTATAATTCTGTGTTAACATGTCAAGCACTTGGAGGAATGTTTTTTATTTCATATGGATATCATATATGGATTTATACATTATTTGGATCAATAATGACAGTTATGGTTGAAATCGCTTTAGTTAATTTATTAAATCCAATTGGTTTACCACCATTATTTTTTCCATCAATAATAATTTGTTGGTTATTTTGTTTAATTGGTGGATCAAGTCGTTATTTAATAGCTGTTCGTTTAAGATCTCTAAGTACACCAGAAGATCATTTACGACGTTTTCGTTTATCAAATTTAGTTAAAATGCATTTTGAATTTGTTAATGATTTATCAACAATTCTTGAAAAAGTTGGAGGAAATGAAAATATTCCAATTGAAGATTTAGTAACAATTGAAAATGAATTTGTTCCAATACTTTTATGTTCATATACACATCAAAATGATATTTATAATTTAAATTCATTATTAAATGAAGGTGCTGATGTTAATTCAACAGATTATGATTTACGAAGTTCATTACATATAGCTGCATGTGATGGAAATATGAAATTATGTCGTTTATTAATTGAAAATTTTAAAGCTGATGTTAATTTACTTGATGATTTTGGTGGTACACCATTATATGATGCATTTTGTCATGGAAATTTTCATTTAATTCCATATCTTTATGCAAAAGGTGCAAGAATGCCGATTTGTAGAATAAGAGAATTAACTTTTTTTCTATGTGCTTTTTCATTTGAAGGAAATTTAGAAGTTGTACAATATTTAATTGCATGTGGAATTAATCCTAATTCAACTGATTTTAATGGACGAACACCATTACATTTATCTGTTTGTGGTAATCAATATTCTATTGTAAAATATTTAGTTGAAGAAAGTAATGCATCATTATCTATTATTGATTATTATGTTAAAACTGCTATTGATGAATCTTTACAATTAGATGATCCAACTATATCAATTTATCTTCAAAATGCGAAAATTAATCCATTAAAACAAAAAGTAAGAATAATTAATATTTTAGTTGAAAATTTACCAGATGATGATGATGATGATAATTATTATTATAATGATGATGATATTGATATTGTTGTTGATGATAATAATCCTCAACAACAACAACAACAACAACGAACATCATCAAATGAAAATCAACAATTAATTAATAATAAACCATTAGTAAGTGTTCAAGAAAGTTTATTACCATCTTTATTTTGTACAGCTGCAGCTGAAGGAAATATTCGACAAATGACAAATATTCTTAAACAATTTTCTAATTTTCGTGCAGATAGTGTTGATTATGATTTTCGTTCAGCTGCTCATGTAGCTGCTGCTGAAGGTCAATTAGCAAGTATACAATTTTTATGTAAAAATTCTCAAACAAAAAAACAAAATTTACATTGGATTAATCGTGAAGATCGATGGGGTTTTACACCTATTGAAGAAGCATATCGATATGGACATTATGAACTTGCTAATTTTCTTCGAGAAAATCAATCAAAAGATTCAACATTTATTTCCATTGAAAATAATCAAGATACATCATTAACAACAAATGATTTTGTTATTTCAATTAAAAAATGGAGAAAAATTCTTCGTTTTGCAACATTAGCTTCAAATAATCAAGCTGAATTAATTAAAGGTCTTTTAATGAGTGGAGTTTTTGTATCATCAGAAATTTATGCTGATTATGATGGACGAACACCTATGCATTGGGCTGCTATTAATGGACATTTAGATGTTGTCAAAGTTTTACAACAGTGTACAGATGATGGAAAAACACATGAAGATCGATGGGGCAATTCAGCTTTAGATGAAGCCAAACGAAAGAAATTTAATGATATTGTTAACGTATTATTGGATGATATTGTATAACTTTTACTTTTACTTTTCTATAATTTCTGTATTTTTTTATTTATTCTTAAAAAGAAAAAATTATCAAAAAAAATAAATAAAACTTTTCTTAAAATTTATATCGAATATGATATTGTGTATATTCATAGAGTTATTAAAAGATTTTATTGATTCTATTTATATATGACATTTGTTACATTCATCTTTTGTACAAATAAATTAATGACGAAATTGTTTTCTTTTTTATTTATTATTGCTCTTCAGTTTTTAATATCTATTAAAAAGAAAATAATTTTTAATTATGATTGTTATGACTATCAATTGTATATTTTATTGATCTATTCACTTTTACTTTTCTAGTTGATTTATGAGATAATTTCGATTAAAAATGATTGACAATATTGATAATGAATTAGACATACTATTTTCTAATATAATATCTAGACAAAATTGTGCGTCATCTATTGATATTGCTTCGTCATACAATACTTATGTAGGTATAAGTAAGGTGAGTAAAGTACTCGGATATATGTTGATGACTAAAAACGAAGGAAGAGAATCCAATGACGTCGTTCATGACAATTTCATTTTTTCCCCGTATATATATTTCATCATATTATATAATCGTTTTTTGAAGGATATAACTCATGTGTATGATTGGTATTTTGAATTTATTAAATATAAAATAATAATATGAAGGAAATTATTCATATTCAAGTTGGTCAATGTGGAAATCAAATTGGTTGTAAAGTATAAAAATCTTTCTTTTTTTTCTTTTCTATACAAATGACAAGAAATTATTTTAGTTTTGGGAAAGTATTTCAAATGAACATGGTATTGATTCAACTGGGATATATAATGGTGATAATGATAATCAACTTGAATGTGTTAATGTTTATTACAATGAAATAGACAGTGAATAGAATAAATAGATTTTATTTCTTTATTTTTTCAAATTTAATTTTTTTAAATAGAAAAAAAATATGTTCCTCGTGCAATTCTTACTGATCTTGAACCAGGTACAATGGATGCAGCTCGTGCTTCTCCATTTGGTCAACTTTTTCGACTAGATAATTTTATTTTTCGTAAATTAAATAAAAGAATTTATTTATTATTAGAATTATTTAAATAATTATTGTTGATGCATAGGTCAATCAGGTGGTGGAGGTAATTGGGTAAGAGCTAATTATACAGAAGGTGCTGAATTAACCGATCTATTGCTTGACATAGTTCGTAAAGAGAGTGAATCATGTGATTGTCTTCAAGGTTTTCAATTAACTCATTCACTTGGTGGTGCAACTGGTTCTGGAATGGGTACATTAATTATTTCAAAAGTTCGTGAAGAATATCCTGATCGTAAATAAAAAATGAAATTCGAAAAGAAAAAATAATTTGTTTTGATTAAGGTATAATGATGACATTTAGTGTTTTTCCATCTCCATTAGTATGTGAAACTGTTGTTGAACCATATAATGCAACACTTTCTATGCATCAATTAATTGAGAATACCGATCAAACATATTGTATTGATAATGAAGCTTTATATAATATTTGTTCGAGAACATTAAAATTACCAACACCAACATATAATGATCTTAATCATTTAATATCATCAACAATGTCTGGTGTAACAACATGTCTTAGATTTCCAGGTCAATTAAATGCTGATTTACGTAAATTATCAGTTAATATGGTTCCATTTCCACGTTTACATTTTTTTCTTTCTGGTTTTGCTCCATTAACATCTCGATCAAGTGATTTATATCGTTCATTAACTGTATCAGAATTAACTCATGAAATGTTTGATACAAAAAATTTAATGGCATCATGTGATCCTCGACAAGGAAAATATTTAACTGTTGCTGCTATTTATCGTGGACAAATATCAATGAAAGAAGTTGAAGAAGAAATATTAAATATTCAAATGAAAGATTCATCTTATTTTGTTGATTGGATTCCAGATAATGTTAAAACAGCTGTTTGTAATATTCCACCTCGTGGACTTGAAATGTCAGCAACATTTATTGGTTAATAGAAAACAAATTATTAAAATTTTAATAAATTTTTCTTTCTAGCTAATAATACATTAATTCAAGAAGTATTTAAACGTATATCAGAACAATTTACAGCAATGTTTCGTCGAAAGGCTTTCTTACATTGGTATACATGTGATGGCATGGATGAAATGGTGAGTTAAAATAAATAGTTGATTTATTATGAGATCTATTATTTTCTTATAGGAATTTACTGAAGCTGAATCAAATGTACATGATTTAATAAGTGAATATCAACAATATAATAATATTACAAATGAAGGTTAAAAATAAAATTTATTCGAATTTTATTATTAATATAGATATTTTCTTTTTAGATAATGATGATTAAATTAAAAATATTATTTTATTAATTATATTTAAATAAGAAATAAATAAATTCATCATATTAAAAAAATTTTTTATTTAAATTTATCATAGAATATATTTATTAAAAAAAGGGTGGTTTCATAAAAAGCTTGACTTGATTCGAAATAAAAAAAACTTGATGGATTGTTGTGTGGGGTCTTATGCACTGCCTGTTCTTCTCTAGCTTGTTATTTTGTTTGCAGGTAATGATAACATCTTACAGATAAGGTCAAGTCAATAGAAGTCGAAAGAAAAAATGTCATAAAATGATAATAATAATTTTATATCTTTTTCTCTTCATCGAGATAATAACATATTTAGTCGTCAGAATAGATACCAATTTCATTTACTTTTCAGAGTCAGCTTTTTAGATATACATACTCTAACTATTTGTCTTTAGCCTTCTATGAGACACAACTAGAAAATTGAGATACGAATGTTTTAGACGTTTCAATGAGGTCACATAGAGACGAAGAATTTGTATGGATATAATATTGTTTATCTCTACTATATTTTCTTCTAGTGAATTGTTCAACGGTATCCAAATTATCATCATGACAGATATTATAAGTGATGTTTCGATGGTGCAAACTCTTTGTGATCCAGGCGAAGGTAAAAAAGCAGAAGAATTTTATAACCATACAGATGGAGAGCGCTTTGATACTGTGAAGAATTTCTATTTTCAACAACATGTACAACAAACATATGATTTTGCCATATCGAAAATGAAGAAATATGAACATATGGATAAACTAGTGTTGGATCCATGGTCTGCATTAGAACTTGGTGGTTCATTTACTGACGATTCAGACCCGGATACAGAATTAGATCAGATTTATCATTCATTTCAAGTTGCTGAAGCTCTTAGAAAGTTATATCCCGATGAAGAAAAATATGGTTGGTTACATCTTACAGGTTTAATTCATGATTTAGGCAAGATATTAACGCCTGCATTTGGTGAACCACAATGGTGCAATGTTGGCGATACGTTTCCCGTTGGATGTATGTTTGAACGAGTGGGAGTTTTTCCAGAATATTTCGATTATAATCCTGATTTGAAGCATCCGGTGTATTCAACAAAATTAGGCATATATGAACCGAAATGTGGATTGAATAATTTGATCATGTCATTTAGTCATGATGAATATTTGTATAAAGTTTTAACACATGAAAAAAATGCATCACAATTCACGGAGAAAAAATTACCAATTCAATCTTATTATATGATACGATACCATTCATTTTTTCCTTGGCATAAGTTTGAAGCTTATACATGTTTTGAAAATGAAATCGATAAAGAAAATAAACATTGGGTTCAAATATTTGCAAGCTTTGACTTATACTCCAAAGCGCATGATATTGTCGACATTGAATCAGTCAAGCCATACTATCAAAACTTAATGAAACAATATTTACCAGCAAAAATTTACTTCTAAGAGTTGTAAAGGCATATTTTTGATTATTTGATTGTAAAACATTCTTTCTAAACATCTTGAGGGTGTGAGTGTGGCTGTGCTTGAAAGATAGATACAATATTCACACCTTCAATACTATTAAAATAATCATTTTTAAATATTTGTGCCGAAATAGTTGAAGATAAATTATGAAAAAAATGAATCTTTCGTCGACAAATATGTGTTCACGAGTTACACAACAAGTTCAATCATTTATATGTGTTTGACTTAGAGCTTGTTGAACAGTTATATGTATATCGCAGGTGAAAGTATTGAAATCATTCTATCGTTTTTTTCGAATATATATCTTTATACATCAAAAGTCGTTAAAATATAATATTATTTACATATGATGCTTACATATATATTTTTCTAATGAAATTAGGCGCATACTCAGCATCTTTGTTTTGCAAGTTAAAATTTCGGAAATGAACTTCACATCTCGAGGTGAATGAACACAAAGACTTCAAGATTTTATTTATCCTATTCTGGTTTTTTTTCTGCATAAATTGAAAAGCAAAGTTCTATGAACAAAAGAAAAATTTATTATAAATCAAAAAATACATTGGTGATATTGCATGAAATTATTTCGAATTTCCAGTAAAATCAATGACCATACGACCTGTTAAACGGTAATTTCTCATATCATTGAGAATATCATTAACTTGTTCTAGTTGACATGTTTGTACTTTGCATTTAATATCATATTTTTGTGCAATATCGAGTGTCTCTTTCAGATCGGTTCGTGTGCCGACAAGTGTGCCTACGATTTCAATCTGTCTGGCTATACAAACACCGATTGAAATCGCAAGGTTATCTATTGGAATACCAATCATAACGAGGCGACCACCTTGTTTTAATGATTGTAATGCTTGTTCATATGCAGATACCAGAGGAATAGTCACAAGTGCTGCTTGAACACCTCCATTGGTTTTCTCTTTGATAAAGTTACTATGTTGATCACTAGGACCATCGTAAACTAAAACAAATTTTAATATTATTACTATGAACATAATTAGAGTGAGTAAACTGTTTTGCTGTCTATTTTTAAATGACTACGGTATAACTCTACTATGATTTGAACTCAAAATGTTTTAAAGATATTGTAAAATGATAATTATACAAAGAAGTGTTTGTTATATCACAATGACTTACCTTCATCAGCTCCCATTTCACGAGCTAGATCGACAGCGGCCTAAAAAATAATAATTTTAGTAAAAGTGCAGTTGATTGAACGTTTTCTTCACCTGATCTTTTTCTGCTACGATGCCAATGACACGAAAGCCCATTATTTTTGCATATCTGATTCCAAGAGAACCTACAAATAGTATATGGTTCTAAAGTATCCATGGATTTGGAAAAGAGAAAAAAATTCCTAAACCACCAACACCAACAATAGAAATCCAATCATTTGGTCCAGCTTGAGAAACCTTCAAAGCTTTATACATACTTACACCGCCACAATAGAGTGGTGCTGCATTCAACGGATCTAATCCATCAGGTAATTTTATTACAAAATCAGCATTTATTAAAGCATATTCAGCGAAGGCACCATTCTATATCAATAAAGAAACTCATCGATATATTCAAAGTAAAGAAAAATATGATCAACCTTCGTTTGTCCCGTCGTAACTTTTGAATTGCATAGAGTTTCTCGTCCATTCAAACAAAATTCACATTCTAGACAAGTTCCTTGTAGAAATTGAATACCAATAAGTTCATCTAACTTTAAATTATACTTTTCAAAAGAAACATTTTGTCCAAACTCGACTATTCGACCGATTCCTTCGTGTCCCAAAATGAGAGGTAAAACAGGTTTGATACGCCAATCTATTCATATATAGAGTAATAAAAAGAATTGCTCTTAGAATATATATATTTAATGTATTTACTTACCTCCACGAGCTGCATGTAGATCGGTATGACATATTCCACAAGCAATCAACTTAACGAGAACTTCATTTGGTCCTGGTTGAGGAATTGGTACTTGTTTTATTTCCAATAATGTTCCGAATTCGTTTAAAACAGCTGCTTTCATCATGTTGTTCACCATTGACATAAGTAATAAACTTCCTCTTGACACCTAATCTATGATAAATGAAAAAGAAACACAAAATTGCTTCTTCAACATGTTTATACGTATATGCTTATCAATTATACTCATGTATAGGACGAGCAAAAAACAGAAAAGAATAAAAAAAATTGACCGATGCCTTAGCGATGCGAAATATTTTATCCGCACGATGGTCAGCGAACAATATTGAATTTTATCTAGTTGATATCTCACAAACACAAAGTACACAATCTTCATGTTATCGTAATGGAATGTGCAAGGGAAAATTTTCATTTAACTTTGTATTATATATAAATGTAAATTAGACGTAAATTCAATATACTCGAGAGGATTGGGTGAAGATGTTATAACAATTCGTCTAAAAGGCAAAATGAATCATGAATACGTTGAACATGAATGTGGTTCTTAACTGTTGCCCTCGTCATTAACAAAATTGATATTGTATGAGTATGACGTTGAGGATGTGAATGTGAATAGTCTTTTCTCCTTTCACATCCACACCCGTCGACATAGAATTAGTCAAACCATACTATCAAAACTTAATGAAACAATATTTACCAGCAAAATTTTACTTCCATGAGTTACAAAGACATATTTTTTCGATTATTTGATTGTAAAACATTCTTTGTAAATATTATGAGAGCTATGATTTCTAAATACAAAGAAGCGCTCATCTAATGATTAGCTTGCCCTTTTCTGAAATAAACAATTTACAGTATGGAATATTATTGTGTCAAAACTTATTGTCAGCTTTTCTCTTTGTAACGTTACCAGTAACTGTCGTTGAGAAGACTCGATTGTTCCTATAGAACGTTTATGAGATTCTAATTTTATCTCCATCATCATCATATATATATTCGTAAAGAGAAATCAGATTCCCGACTTGAGGATGTGAGTGTGGAGGTAGGGCTGGGTGTTTATGAGAGGGTGAGTAGAAAGATATTTAGAAAATATCTCAATATTTTTCTACTCACATCCACATCCATCCTTCTATCGATATTTCTCAATATATCTTCATGCAAAAATAATTATCTGTTTTATATTCTGAATTTTTATTATTGTAGAAGAAAATATTAATACGAACATGACATTAACAAATACAATATTTATGTTTATTCATCAGTTAGATTTTGTCTTTACTCTGATATAGAAATTATTAAAAGAAAAAGAGAAAAAAAAAGATTTGTAGAAAAGTAAATGATTAAATGTAATGTTTAATATTTTGAAATTAATTTGTATTTTGATGATAATGTTGAATATGTATTTTTGTTTTTGAAAATAATTTAAATATAATTTTAATAATAAATGGTAAAATAAGTTTTAAAAGATTAGTTAATCCGCCATATAAACCTAGAATAGTTGTTATTATATAAAATATATTAAAATATTGTGTATAAGAATAAGTACATAATGTTGGTTTACATTGTTTATAATAATTTTCATATGAATGATTAATATACCATTGATCAACAAATAATCTATTAACCATTGATTCAACAGTTTCATTTCTTCCATATTCACTTTGTGATTTAAGAATTTCAAATGTATTATTAATATTATTTGAAAATTGATTAAATCGAAAATAAGATAAAATTAAATTTAAACATGTTTGATTATATAAACATTGAAGTGAAGATTGTAACATAGTTTGAACAGGATAACAACCAATACCTAATCCATCTAAAATAGTATTATCAATAATAAGTGGTTGAAAACATTTTGATGATGTTCCACAATTACATGTTTGATTATATATAATAGGATTAGAATAGATTGGAGAAAAATTTTTTCTTTCTAATATTGTAAATTTCCAATTTGTTTGATAAACAGTCATATAAAAATTGGCATGAATTATTCCATGAATCATATCTAATGTTCGTTTAAATGTTTGTGGAACTGATTTTTGAAAAAGTTCTATTATTAAATTAAATTGATTTTGAAATGATTGAGAAGATATTAATTGTCCACTTATAAATTTTGTTGAATAAAATTGTATTAAACTTGTATTTAATGTATCTTGTGTTAATTTACATAATGATGAAAGTGTTTGAAATTGTGCTGATGCTGTTGAATGATAATTTCGATCATTTATTGTTTGATCATTATATAAATAATTAAACCATTGTTTACTAACAAAATCTGAATAACATATTTCATGATAAATTAATTTTATATCAATAAATTTATTATATTCAATTGAGATATCATTACATGGACAGATTAATGTATTTTTATATTTCATTTCTAATTCCGTATATTCATTTAAATTTAATAAATTTAATTCAACTGTTATCGATTTTTTATTTAATGATGTATATAAAACTAATATAATTAAAATAATAAGAAAAACTATTATATATAACCTTGTTGTTATAATTTGTTTTCGAATTTTTTCTTCATTTGTTGAACGATCTCGAAATAAATTTAAATTAATTAATTTTCCCAATATATAAGCTCGTTTTGATGCTAAAATAAAATTAAATATTTTTAATTCAATAGATTCATCTTTCAGATGTGGTGTGCGAGTATCTCTTCTCTTTGACTATCCACACTCATCATGATCGGAACCATTAGAAAAATAATTAGCGGATCAGAAATATAACAGTCGTCGGAACTCGAACGGAATCAAAAAAAAACTTAGTCCCATACATCTTTAATAGTAATATATATGTCAGAGTACAGAAAGAAATTCAGTTCAGTTCAGTTTAAAATTGTCCTAGCTGACGTTAAAATTTTAATCTGAAGTAGGACAAATTAAAATATTTGAATCTGACGTAGTTCAAATCAAAACATTTCAGTCTCCCCTAGTTCAGATTAAAATTTTAACGTCAACTAGGACTATTTTAAACTGAATACAATTTCATAATAAAAAAGGGTCTTCACTTCACTAAAAAAATTGATTGTAATTACTAAATGTTGTACCTATTTGTTGTTGTTGTTGTTGTTGTTGTTTTTTTCGTCTAATTAAATTAATAATATTTGGAATTAAAAATTTGATAATAATAGTTAATCCTCCATAGACAGCAATTAATTTTGTACATATATAAATAAAAGATGGACGTTGTTGTATTGTATATGAACAAAAAGATGGTTTACATTGATTATAATAATTTTCATATGAATAAAATTCATTCCAATTTTCAATAAAAAGATTTTTAAGAATTGTTCCAATTGTTTCATTTGTTTTATATTGACTTGATTGTGATTGATTTAAAATATTTAAATTTTGATAAGTTTGTGAAGAATTAAACATATAAAATTGAATTGTATTTAAACATGTTTGATTATAAAAACATTCTGTTGTTGATAATAATAATGAATCAACCATATAACAACCAATAAATATTCCATTAATAAAATCTTGTCGATTTGGAATACACAATCTAACTGTTTCATGACATGTTGAATCTGTTGCACAATGACAATTATTATATGATTTTATATATGAATAAGGTAAAAGTGTATTATTAAATAACATTCCATTTAAAATAAAATCTGTTTTTCTTACACTTATTATTTGATTATTTGATATAATACTTTGTAATAAATTCCATTGTCCTTCAAATGTATTTTGAATATTTGTTTGAAATAATTCAATATATGACAAAATTTCATTATTAAATTGATTTTCTAAAATAACTTCTGATGTTATATAATCAGATGAATAAAATTGTGTTAAACCATTTGAAATTGTTTCATTTGCTGATTGACAAAAAGTTAATAAAAGAGAAAAATAAAATGATGCTAAATTAGCAAATGATGGATAATAACAAGGTAATGTTATATTCCAAATTTCATAAGCATTATACCACATATTTGAAGCAAATATACTTGAACATATTTCATGATATGTTGGATTTAAATGAAGAAAATTGGAATATTTTATTGATATTTCATTACATGGACAATAAAGATCATCGATTGATTTATTATTTAATTGTTCAAAATCAATTTTTGTTGGATTTGAAATAATTATTGTTCGAGGTTGATATTCAGATGATATACGAATAGAAAATATAATTAAACAAATAATTATTGTTAAAAAATAAAGTTTTGTTGATAATCTTCCATTTTTTTGTTTATGTTCATCATCTAATGAATATTTATTAAACATATTTAAGTTTATTACCAATTTTATCATTTTAACAAATAATATATACAAACGAATTCTTCTTGATACTAAATATATATAAAGAAATATGATCTATGTTTAATGTAGACAAGGGTGGGTGTGGGCAGTGGCGGATTTAGAGGGGGGAGTTGATCGCCCCCCTCTCTAGGTATCGCCCCCCACATCCACACCTTGAATTTATTTGATAAAATGAAATGTAACTAACCTGTTAAAATAATACTGTTTGTAGTTGTTAATTGTTGTTGATGTTTTTTTCTTCGAATAAATTTAATAATAATTGGAATAATAAATCTGAGAACAATTCTAAGTCCTCCAAAGAAACTAATAATAATTGCAAAAATATGAATAAAATTTTGTCTTTGATAAATAGTAAATTGACAAAATAATGGTTGACATTGATAATAATAATTATCATATGATATATTTATAATCCAATTTTCAATAAATAATTGATTAGCTAAAATTTGAAAAGTTAAATTTGATTTTGATTGAAATTGATTTAATATTTGAAATGAATTAATTGATATTGTTGTATGATTAATATAAGATGCAATTTGATTTAAACATTTTTTATCATATAAACATTGACTTGTTGAACGCATTAATGATTCAATAGGTTTACAACCAACATACATTCCAGGTATTAGAAAAGTTGCATTTATTCCAGCAGTTGTTGCATTAACATCGATATCTTGTATCCAATCTGAACCAGGAAAATCATATATTTCAATGGTACTATAAATTCCTTGAGGCATTTGACATGCTGTATATTCATCACAATAACAATCAAATATTTTATTTTCTAATGAATTTTCATAATAATAAATACTATCCAAATAAATTCTTGATATATTTGATGGATGAAGTGCATAAGCAAGACTTGTATCAATTGCTGAATAAATTCCATTTGCAATTGTTATTTGTCGAATTAATTGAAGTAAATTTTGAAATGATGGTATTGTTGTTTGTTTAAATAAATCAATAAATGAATGAACTTGTAAGAAAAATAATTCCGATGTAATAACTTCATTTGTTATAAAATTTAATGAATAAAATTCATTTAAACTTTCATTAATTGTTATTTCAGCTAATTGACATAAAAGACGAAGAAGTTGAAATTTCGATGATGCATCATGACGAAAATCAAGTTGAAAATAATAACTTGTATTATCATAAAATAAATAATTGATCCATTTTTCACTTATAAAATCCGACAAACATATTTCATTATATTCAACAGTTAAATTAACAAATTCTTTATATGAGATTGAAATTTGTTGACATGGACATTTGAGATTATTTAAATATATTAATTTGAATTTTTCATATTCTTCTTTGTTTGGTTTTTCAATGTTTATTAAATTATTTTCCATTTGAAACACTTCATAAAATGTTAATAATAATAATAATGTTAATAGAATAAATAAATAAATTCTTGTAGATAATAGTTCATTTCTTTTTATATGTTCATCATTTGTTTCTGTATCAAATAAATTCAATTTTATCAAACGTTCACGAATCATACGCAATCGACTACTCATCCCCTTTTTTTCAAACTATCTCTAATTGGATTTGTTCAATTTTTCTAAAATAAATAAATAAGAAATTATTTGACATAATATAAAAGAGAAGATTTATTGAATACTAAATAGTTATAAAAAGAATATTTTTCTAACAGAAACTGTAGAAATAAAAATGCAAACGAATGTTAAATGTTTGAACTTATGAAAAAGTTCTTAGAATAAAATATTCTTATTAATTTCAACACCTTTTATATCTCCAATGTTTTCCCTTGATTTCAATAAAAAATAAAACAAAGTCATGTTTTTATGCCATGTTCACAGGTATAATATCCTCATTACTGTTCTACTTTATTTTTTAATTTATATTTATATCTTGGGATTTTTGTCTGAAGAGATTTTTATTTTCTATTTATTTATGTGACTATGATTAATGTATATCGTCTTCAAAATTTTATCATAAATATGTCTTGGATCAGAAAGTCTATTGAAAAAGTTTTAGATTTTCTACTTATATAATGCGATCGATATTCACTAACTACTGATCAATTAATTCATTTTAACTAAAAAGTAAATGAAAGTGTCAACATTTGTACATATGTCTATATGTTAAAAGAATTTATTCTAGATAAAATATTTAGTTAAGAAATAAATTGAATATTACATTATATTTTAATATATAATAGAAATAAAAATATTGAGAACATGTGACTTTTATTTAATTAGAAAATAATCTTGTTAATTGTTTTTGTAAATATCAGACATATTTTTGTTTTTTTCATGATTTAAAATAATTAAATGTTTAAAAATAGATAAGACATATGATATAAAGAAATGCTTCAAACAAAACTTCATTTTTTTCTGAAGATTTAAAATAATAGATAATTTAATTGGTTTTTTTAATAATGTTTATTTTTTTAAATAATAAATTTTCTCTAATAGAATTTTTATTGCGAAAACAATCAAGTGATGTCTGACAAAACTTTGTTTATGTAATCATTTATTAGTTTTACTTTCATAATTGTTATACTCGGAAATACTTAGAAAGATTGATATGCACATTCATAACTGTTTATTTCAACAATTATAAACATAATCATATTGAATAGAAGAAAAATATAAAAAGTAATTCATCGAATATCTTGTTTAACAGATTAGAACAAATAAATGAATTATTGAAAATGATAGATTCGTATTAATTATTTATTATTTGTAAAAAATGGAAGTATCCATAGAAGAGATATGTGATATAATATATATTACCTTTTTTTTTCTTTGAAAAAACTAAAATAAGTCTTTATATGAATCAATGCATATTTATTTGTGGAGGTTCATTAAGTTTATCCATATCATCATCAATAGCACCAAGTAATGCTTTAACAATATAATCCCCTTTTGAAAATGGATAATTTTCTCCATTAACTTGACGGATCTTCTTTCTTTCAGTTATAAAATCATCAGTAACATCCACATTCGTCATTTTTCTATCCCAATCATTTAAATATTCGACACAAGTTGAATCATCAGTACATATTAAAAACATGACATGAGTTGTTTCTATTCGACGTTCATCAATCATTAAATGTTCAAGTTCATCAACATTAATATTTCCTCGATCATCTGATGGTGCACCATCAGTTGCAACAAATACAAGAACTTTTTTATCATTACCTCGACGTGTTGATGGTAAATTAAAAATATGTCGAAGTGCCTTGACTAATGGTGTATAACCACGTGGTTGTTGGGAAAATTCAATATTTATTGATTCAGGATCAGTTACATTAAGTATTGATGGTCGATTAAGAAAATAAACATCAACACCAGTTGTATCAAATATTGTACCAATTTTTAAAACAATTTTAACCATATCACGAAGTTCATCCCATCGTGTACGATTTGTATTATCAACTGTTGTTTTCATTGAACCAGAATCATCACATAAAATTATTATTTCATAATCTTCAAGTAAACGTAAACGTTCACCTAAATCTTGTTGAATTTCATATTCAAGAGTTAATTCACGAAGACGATCATCAACTATTTAACAAAAACGAACAAATATTAATTATCAATCAATTTATGTCACACATTTCAATAGAATTAAGAATAAGATTTAAACAATTTTAACTTACTTATTGTTGTTGGACGATATGGAAAACTTTGAGGATATGAATGAAAAGCTATACTAGAACGACGTGGAGTATCTTTTAAAGAAATAAATACAAATTATAATGAAGATTTTGTTTTTGAGAAAAAAAATATTTTATTAAATACCATATGATTGTTCAGATTCTGGATGAACTGGATCTTTTGTTTGTTGAGATCCTGCAAAATCAGTGTTATCCAAATGTTCAAAAGGACTCATTCGACCTGTTTCACTAGCATAATTTATTTGAGATTGTCCTATTCTTGCATTAAGATCCATTTAGATTATATTTAACCAAATAAATTAATTCTCTTTAAGAAAATAAATTATATAAATATTTGATATTTAATATTTAGATAGAATAAATCTTATATTTGTATAACATACCTTTGAGAAATAATTTTTAAATAAATATATTATTGAATAAAATTGATGAGACAATATTTGCGTTTATATATTATATTTTGTGTGTATAAATATGAATATTTTTCATTCGTTATCCAATTAATATTAATGACAAAATAAATATATTTTTTTCATTCTGTACTTCCCTTTTTCGTTTTTTTCTCCAACTTACATAGATATGAAGAGCAGCGTATTTTTCTTCCGAATATTTTTTTATAAATTTAAGTTAGATTTTTCTTTTCCAATTCAATGATGTCAAATCAATGATTATGTATATTATCATAAAAAGGAAAATTCCAATTCAGACATTATCTCATCTTTTTATTTTTGTACGAATTTTATTTGATTTTTCCAACATAGGAAAAAAGATAATTTGTTAATGGTCCTTTTATTTAACTAACTAATAATAAAAGTGGATTGTTTAGAAATAAAAAGTTTTTAGATAATCAATCATATAATGTTATCATATGAGAATAAAAAAAGTTAAAAACTTTACTTTTTCTTTGCTTTTCGAAATTCACTATTTTGTGTTTTTTTTCATATCTAGACTTTTAGACATGACGATTTCTTATATGATAGATACTGCTTAAGAGCCGGTGCATATGTATGTATTTATTTTGAATAGCAAGAATCATGTATAGAAATATTTATCTCGTCTCTTAAATAGTATGAGCAATGATAGTAGACACAATAGCAAAAAAAGTGTCAAATCCAAGGAGAAATTTGAAAAAAAGCAAAGGTTAGATTATATCATATCATATAGAAAAAGAAATGCACGCTATGAGGGCATATATGAGACAAATATGTGTGACAAAGAGACAAACGATTACTGTCATTCCAAAGTAAAAACACATAAAAATATGGATCAAGCATAATGAAGGACATCGAAGTTATTTTCACTTATCTATATGTAACCAGATTTATTATAATTGTATTCATTTATCTTCTCAACAAAAAGTTTTTATTCTAGTTTCGAATGAGTGTTAGTATCTAGTGAAATATGCTCGAAAGGTCAAAAGAATGATATATAATCATTAAAAGTGAGCGATCTGGACCGCATAGATTGAATATGACTACATGAGAACATACAACTGGAAATAATTAAATTCTAGAAAATAATTTGAGAAAAAGCAAATTTTATAATTTTGATAGAATTTAATGTTGATTATTTATGTGAAAAAAATGCGTTTTTTTTCTGATGATTATATTTGTAAATGTTATTTAATCTTGTAGAATTAAACTATAGTGAAGTCTCATATATATAAATAAATATTTGATAAAAAAAAAGAGTCAATGTAAACATTAGAAGTCATTTGATGGTTTTCATTTGAAATAATTGACTTTTTTTCTAAATATTAAATAAAATAATTTATTTGAAAGACAAAGAATATTTAATAAATTGAAGAAGATTGAATTAATTCTTTTGATTATCTATTAATAAAAAAAAACTATTATCTTTATTTCACATATACATTCAAATAAGATTGATACTGTAATGTTAAATTTGAAATTTCTTTTTTTAGTTGGTTATTTAATAAAAAAGTGAAGATAAATATGTTGCACACCTACTTGAAAAGAAGACTTTTTTTCTTTTTTAAATTTATACAAAAAAAACATAAAGTGTTCTGTCGAGACTGGATATAAATGTTATTCTGAACAAAATTTATTTATATAAGAATTTCAATGTATTCTTATTACTTGTCTATTTTCAACATTATCGACTTTTCATTCAAAAATAAAGTTTATATTCATCATTTCATTTTTATACAATTTAGAATCACAAATCGATCAAGGTAATCAATATATAGAACATTTATCAGGCAATTACTAATTTTTATTAAGAAATATTCTCAAGTTATTTCAAATTAAAATATAAACGTTTAAATTTAACTTTTATTTCACATGTTGCTAACGAGTACTTGAAAAAAACCCTAAGATGATTATCGAAGAGTAAAACATGATCAGATATTAAAAGAATTCGAATTGTGAGTTTCAATTCACCTATAAATCCTTTAAACCGTTTTAAAGATAAATTTGAATGTGATATTAGAAAATTCAATCTTATTACAGAATATGTTTAGGAAATTAATAAACGCTTTTCACATTCTAATATTTCTATGTTTTCAATAAGAACAGTATACCTCTTTATAATTGTATATCGATATTAATTTGTAAATATTTGTGTTAGTTATTAATATAATTTCGATGTCATCTAATACTGGAGTATTTGATACTTCTTTACCTGAAACAAATCGATCAATTCAAGGTAAGAACGAATCGAAATTAAAATAAAACTATTTCTAATATATTTAGTTAGTGATCTGGATGAACCAGATTATTATTGTGATAAATTTCGTCAACATTCATTTTTAAAACAAAAATCTATTCGTAATAATGAAATGAATGTTAATAATACTAATTATCTTGAAAAACAAACATCAATAATATCTGATTTAACAACACAAATTTCATCAATTGAATATCGTTTACCATTATATAATAATGAAAATGAATATTATAATTTAAATAATACAACATATCAATTATGTGCAATGATTATTGGTTCGGTTAATTATAAACATATTATTAAACCACCATATGAATTATTTAAATTATTTTTATATAGTTTTCATTCTTCAAATACAGTTAAAGATTTTATTCAAAATATATTTGATTTTAAAACATTGACACAAACAAAAACTAAAAGTAATTCCATTTTATTTAAAAAAGAAAACAAAGAAATTAATTTTAAATTTAATTTTAGTATATCCAAGTGTTTGTGTAATTTATCAAAATCATCGATTAGATCAAAATGAATATCTTAGTACACAAGTTTTTCAATCAAATCTTATTGTTTATATTCTTTTAATTCCAACAAATACAAATCAATTAGATAATAGATCATATAAAAGTAAAAGTTTATTTGTTTCTTCTTTTTTTTCTAATTATTTTTGAATGAAATATTTAGAATCATTAGAATTTTATGATCCACCTAATCTATGTTATACTTCAGATATTTATATACGAATATGTGAAAAAAATCTAAAAAATAATTTTCAAAAAAAAATGATTCGAATAAAAAATTTAAATCGTGATATAACAATAAAAAAATTAAAAAATCATATTTGGAAAATGTTAAATATTACTAAAGAATATAATTGTAGAATTTATTATTATGGTTATGAATTATTTGATGATGTACGTCCATTATCACCTGATTTTACATTATTTATTCATCCGAAAAATTTACCAACTATTTTTGATTTTGTTTTAATTCATATTCAAATAAAATCAACAATTAATCAAAATACTCAATTATCTTATATTCATGTAAATATGGAAAATAATATATTGAATGATGAGAATGATAATGATAATAGTACTGATCTTTGGGAAACTGATTATGAAACTTTCTTTCGAAATTATGCTTTGATTTATTATATACGTCTTTGTATCTATGTTGCTATTTCAAATCGGTAAGAACATTATTTTTGTTTAGAACTGCTAAGAAAAACTATTTTTAACATGAGATGATTATCTATAGACTTACTCTTTTCACAAATCGAAAGTATATAAGTATTATTAACTTTTCGTGGGGTCGATGCGGATCTATTTCATAGGTTTTTATTCGATACTACATCAAGAGCTCCTGTGTGAGACTAATACCTCTATCTAATCTTTAGTTCTATGTTAGTCTATATCGTCCTTATTAGAAATCGCGGATAGGGTGTGGGTGTGGATGTAAATTACGATGTGAGTGTGGCTGGCTGTGTTTCCCTTATACACCCAAATCCATACCGACACCCTCAAGATGGTGGGTTCAGGCCGATCCCACGACAACCACGAATTACAACAATCAGGGCAAGCACGAAGGATTAAGCATTTGATATTAATCTGTATAGAATAGCATTATCATTATCATGGTACTCTGCAATACTGTAAAGTCTAACATAGATTATATTTTCTTTAATGAGTATAGATATAAGTCTTCCGGTTGAACTTTAAAGATATAATGGTTGAATGAATAAAAGATTTAAAAAATTTGTAATTTTTTAGAAATTCTATGAAAATGAATGATGAATTAATTGAAGATGTTGATTATTTTCTAAGTGGCAATTGTAAAAAAAGTAATTGTTGTGATTTAAATGAAGTTCTATTGGATTTATATGAATTTTGTGATAAAGATAAATGTAATAAACTTGATAAAGAAGAATGTGAAACTGGATTATTAATATTATTTAAATATCTAAATGAAAATTTAATGGAAAATAAACTTAATATCGAAACTATTTATCCATTAATAAATAATAATGATGGAGAAGAAAATGTTAATAATGAATATTATTCGAAAGAAAATTTTGAAATGTTAATTATTGATACATTAAGTGAACATGTACGAACTGAAATCTTTCAATATCCTGAATATAGTCAATTAAAAGAATTTTCATTTGAAATAACAAAACAAATTGAATGTATAACGGATAATATAGATAATATATTAAATGATGAATTAAAATTTTTAAATGATAATCAGAAAAAAAATCCATTTATTAAAGAAGAAACAATAAAATATACATTATTATTTCTTTTTAGTTTAATTATTCTTCCAATAACTATTCTTATTTTATTAATAATTAAAATACAAAATTCTCGATCTTTATTATTATGTCCAAATAGATTTTTACGATATTTAATTATTTCAATATTATTCTTAATTAGTTTATTAATCTCATCAATGATATATTTAATTGTATTAAATGTTATTTTTTATCATATCTATTCGAAAGATATATTTATTTGGAAAATTAATCTATTTGAAGTTTATTGTCCATTATTTATATTAATTTATTTGATTTTTATATCTTATGTTTATTTATTTGATAAAATAATATTAAATTCAAATGAAAAAAAAGACAAAAAGTTTCAAAAAATTTATAATGATGTTCAAATTGAAATACTTAAATATAATATTCAAATAAGAACAACAAATCAACAACAAATTGAAAATTTATCAAAGAATTGTTTTACTAAAATTTATAAAAATGAATTTGAAAATGAAAAATTTTATATAATTATATTTAAAATAATTTGTTTTCTATTAATTGTTAGTTTATCTATACTTCATACATGTTTACCAATTCTTTATCGTTCATATTCAAATGAAAAAATTCAATTAAATCAAACAAAACCATTTGAAATTCAACTTATTGAAATATGTTTTTTTATATTTGGTTTTCCTTTTTATTTTCTATTTATTTTAATGATTATTTATGGATTACATAAATATGACATATTTTATTATAAAATAAATGAAATGTTTCAAAAAATTAGTAATGATGATCAATATAGATTAAGAAACAAAAATTCATATGATTTTAATTTTAAAATTCAGAATCATGTACATTTATTTATACTTTTATTAAAGCAATTATTTCAAATTAATCAAACAGTTGAATATCAAGTAAGTTTAAACATATATATATATATATAGTTTTTTAAATTCTATAAATATGTACATATTTATTAGATTGCTCGTCTTTCATTATTAACTGGATTAATTATTAGTTTTATTTTAATTATTTATTCAATATTCAATAAATTCAATCGACTTACAAATATATTTCTATTATTTGATATTATATTATTATCAATATTAATACTTATTTATTTATTTCGTATATTATCAATAAACAAAATGACACAAATAAAATTAATTGAAATAATTATGCGTACAAAATATGAATCGATTTGTAAAATATGTAAATATTCTCAAATGAATTTAAATTATAATATTGATTATTTAAATTCAATAAGTGAATATTTAAATACAAATAAATATATTTATTCAATTCATTTATTTCAATTTAATATTAATCAAACAACGATATTTATTATTTTAATAATTACTATTATTGGGATTATGTCAACTTTATTTCCTTTTATTTAAAATACATTTTATTCTGTTGATTAAATATTTTCTGTTTTTTTATTAGATTTTCTTTTAGTTATTTTCTTTTGAAACAATAATAAAACTTGTCTTATTTATCTATTTTCTCGGTAATGAAATATTATCAATGAAAAGAATTTTATATCGTATTAAAATTTTTTATTCAATCAATAAGGGTGCGTGTGAATGTGGGTGGGTGAGCGTGATGGTGTGACGAAAGTGTACAAACCCTCACCCACACCCAAAATGAACATGTTATCATAACCATATAAACAACATTCAATTTATCTTGTAATTTTTTATTTTTGTCTTCCAATTTATCTTATAATTCTTTATTTTTGTCTTCCAATAATGATATTTTTTTTAATCGGTAGTCCATTTTTTCATCATTATTTAAGATCTGTTGTTGTTGATTTAATAACTTTTCAACTTGATTATCTAATGTGAGCTGTTGAATAAGTATTTTTTCCTCATTTGATAATTGTTCTTGTGTATTGAGTAATTCATTTTGATATAATATTACTTTATCAGATTTTGGCTCGATCTAAATAAAAAAAATTATTTAGTCATCAGTAACAAATGGCTAGCGTCTCACAGGTAGGTTCATTGTTCAACAATGGTGGGTCATGAAAAATCATAGCGCCAATCGGAGAATCTCCATCATCTAGTCAAAATTCTTTATCTTTATTAATGAAATTTCTTTTCAATTCAATCACTTACGGCTGGCACATTTTTTTGATATTCTTTAGACTGGAATATCGTTTCAAAAACCGATTTGATAAATCGGACTATATTCTTCTTGGTATTTAAAATATCCAACACATTTTAGATATTTCAATACCTGTAATCTCTATCTGTCTAAAAGCATACAAAAATAGTTCATTGAGATTCTGATTCATTGAAAGAATGATCAGTTCTGAAGTTTCTATGAAACTTACATCGACATTGTCAATTGAAAATTGAGGAAAAAAAGATTCGTTGTATTCCATGATTGACATTAGTAGTTGCAGAGTAGAAGAGCGATAATGTTTCGTCGAAGATGTGAATGTGGAAAATGAATCTGTGAGCGAAAGCATTTTGGCTTTTAGTTTGTTGTTGATTCTTCACTACTGGCACCAAATTCGTAGCTATAAGTCGTCAAGAAAATGGTAATATATACTAAAATAAAAATAAAAATAAATTATTACATGGAAAAACGATTTTCAATGAATAGCTAAATAACTTACTTGACCATTTTGATTTGATTCTAAATTTATAGGTTCTTTAATTCGTTTATTTTTTTCATCTAGAAATAGAAATTAAACATTAAGTATTTTGATTGTTGTGGACAATTACGAAAAAATAACTACATAATAAATGAAAAAACTTTGGATTTTATCCGAAAGTTATGTGTACTGCAAAAAGTGTATGAGACAATTGAGTCATTTTAGAACGTCTGAACACCAGAACTATAATAAATCTTGTCTATGAGCATAATTTCTGTTGACTGATGCTCATCTAAAAGGATTGAGATCTTCTATAACTCATATTTCACCTCCACTTTTGTTTATCCTAGGACAATCATTTTTCTTATAATTTAATTTCTATTGATGACTACTCAACCAACAGAGTTTCGAAGCAAATGGAGTACAGATTCGAATTCTTCGATCTAGAAAACCTCGAAGGAGTATATCGGAAACCGGAAGATAGAACTTCAGTTTTGAGTCAGCAAAGACTAAGATGATTGTGCCTATTGAAACAATTCGAGAATATATTGTACAATAATGCACACTTGATAAAAATCAAAAAGCCGCAGATGTTTCTAAAAATCAAGTTCTGTATCAATAGAACTTTTTTCATTTCTTTTCATTCGAAATTGTTTATATATGTTTAGATTAGGTAATGCGACAAAAATTATTTTATAGGATAGATTAGATAGATTTAAAATATGTAGAAAACGTAATTAAATACAAGTAACGCTCGTCGGAGCGACTCACTTGACCATCGACTGTATAGGGTAAACCTTTTTTCTGTTAATACTAAACTGAGAACATCGATCCATCAATTTATATCTGATTTGGGCGCAAATTTTTCCTCTTGAATTATAAAAGGACACGAAAACGTTTTGTATTTTGTAGTATGATTTTAAGCTAAATCTCATTTTCCAGCTAATATGTACAACCAAACTCATATTATCTATGAGTAATGTTCGTTGAGGACGTTCGCTTAATGACGACTGCTCTTCACCTAATAACTATCAGTTGGGACTTTTAAGACTTCAAGCTTAACACTTTCACCATATATTTTAAGGAGAGATATAACATGTTCTTTCATAACCGCTCTATATTTTTCTCAAGGAGTGTTCATTCACCTCGTAGTCGGTCGTCGGCGTCCTTTCGGTCCGCCACTCCCAACTACTCGATGATGCAGATTACATTTTGTGACTGATATCACATTTACTGTCTTCTCGTATCAAGTTCGTTCTCTTCATCAACTGTTCTGAGAAAGCAGCCGTTAGAGACGGTGTAGATGGATGTGGGTGTCAGGTGGGTGTATATGTGGATCTGGTTGTACAGTTTGAGATTTGGGTGTGAGTGTGAGTATTTTACCGTTCTACACTCTCACCCACATTTCCACACACACACCTACACTCACTCTTTCAAAAACTGGATCTCTGTTGGTTCTCACGTTCACCCAGCTCCCCACCCGAACACACATTCTCACCAACCACGTCCCCATCCCTAGATGTTTCTCCAACGCAATTAACCTTAAAAATAACGTTCGTCCGAGGACTCACTTAGCTCATTCTCATAGAAATACATTTTCTTCACATATACTGGAAAAACAAGTGAAAACCATGAAAGATTGGTTCTAGACGTCTTTTTGACCTTTCACCTACACCCACCAACTCCTTCACACGGTCACCGAATAGTCCCCCGATTCGAGGTCCTTGCATCGAAATGCCTCTAGAAATGTCTTTTTCAAGAAATTAATTTTCGATGTTCTTTTGACCTTTCACCCACACCCACCCACCCCTTCACACGATCACTCAATAGACCTCAGATTCGAACTCCCCGCATCAAAATACCTCTAGAAATGTCTTTTTCGAAAAATAAATTTTCGATGTTCTTTTGACCCTGGCACAGACAAACAAACAAACGCATTTTCGTTTTTTTCGTATCACCCTCCTTTCAGTCGAGGGAATTTTCAAATTAGTTCAACATATTTAATCAATTGTTTTCCTGTAGAAATTAGTTTTAAATATTTAATTTAAATTCTTTTTTTTTTAAAAACTTTCCTTAGTTTAACAGATGATGATGACGATGATGATCAATTAAATTCTTCGAATAAAATCATTCCAACTGCTTATAAATCAAATCAATCAGGTTTTGAAATAAAATTTTTGTTAGATTATTTATAAAGAAATAGTTTTTCTATAGAACTCAACGAAGAAGACACTTCAAAAATAGTAATTAACTTTTGGTTATATTTTAATAATAAATATTTTACATATTATTATTTTAGAATAATCAATCGGATTTTGATATCGAAAATTTAATAAAATTAGATTTAAAAAACTTTATTAATAAATCAATTCCAAAAGAATATGAAAATTTTATTCAATGTCATATAAAACGTGAAAAAGATGGTTTTTCAACAATATATTCTTTATATTATATTGGACAAAATGAAGATGATCAAGTATTTCTATTTATTAAAAAGAATAAAATTTGAAATTAAATTATTTTTAGTTTTTTAAGATTTTACTTTTAAAGGCACGAAAACATGTAACAATTGGTGGGCATTCAGAATTTCTTTTAGAAATTTCTCTGGAAAATTCCTTAACAAAATTAAATGATGAAACATCAATTGCAAAATTAAGATCGATAAAAATTCTTCAACATGAATATGTTCTTTATGATTATGAAAATAATCAAGAAAATAAACCACAAATACTTGCCATTATTTATGTAAGTTATTAACAGATGCGATCGACATATGTTCTTTTCACCTGATTAGAAACGTGATCGACGTAACACGAAAGATCATCATAGACATGATCATTGAATTCATAGTCGTTAACAAAGATAAATACATTAATCATTTATTTAGTATTAACTGATTTTTCTCTTGAATTTAAAATATTAATCAAGTCAATTCATAATAACACAATTTAATGGAGTATATACCACACAAGGAATAGAAAATGAAAAAAAATTCATTAAAATAGTTATTAAGAAAACTTTCCACCAGAACAGTACCGTGACTTCGTTTATTTTAGCAAAAATTCAAATGACTACATTAGTTTCGTTCGATTTTTATTTGAAGCATTACAAACTATATGTCATTTTAGGTAGTATTATGGAGTCTTGCAGAGAATAATTACTCTGAACTTTAGGTAGAATTGAGAAATACGTTCTCATCTATATTATTTGCAGGCTTAGCTGAAAAAAATGAAAAATTTTTTTTGCTTCCACACTTCTCATAGAATGCCGTCCTTGAAGTTCTTAATTATTCTCTCGATAAGATTTTCATGCATGAATTTCAAAAACATAAAAACTAATATCATAACTATCGAATATTTTATCTTCTATGATTATGATATAAAACTCTTTCGATAATAGATAAATGAGATTAATTTATATATTTAATAAAATAAATTTTTCTAGGATGAACATAGATTTGGATCAAAAGAACCTCGAAAATTCACAGTATTGTTACATAATACAAAAGAAGATCTTCGACAATTCAAAGTAAATGTTGATTGATTTATTTATTTATTATTTTTATATTTAAAAGGAAAATGAAACAATAATTGATGAATGGCGAGCTGGACGTTCAAATGATTTAATTGAAATAAAAAATAAAATTCCAACATATAATCAAGGTTAATTAAGAAAAAGTGAATTTTAGTTTTTTTTAAACTCTAATTTAATTTAGAATTTCAAGTCTATAGTCTTCCAATGTTAAATAATCATATAAAAGAAGGATCACATAAAAATTTTCAATTAATTTATTTA